TTAGTTAACGGTTTGTTAATAGCAGGAATTGTACCCTTAAATAAAGTGTGACCATGATAATTTAAATCATGGTCACTTTCCTGCACAGATAGGTTATTTTTTGGATTAGTGGTTTATGGCTCTTTTTTAAAAGGCTCAATTGAGGACTATTTATGCACAGGCACCATTTTAAAAGTATTGATTTGTCAACTTTTATCATAAAAAGGCTAACCAATGCCTCAACCTACATAAGTGTGAGTAAGCAAACAGCTAATTCTCTTTAAGCAAACTAAAAACACCAGACTTTAAACCTTAACCACAGGGGGTCTTTAAGCACCAAGCTTGTCTCTGATTCATTAGAAAAAAAAACCTTTAGAGAGAATACATTTGAGACTATGAAGGCCCTATTATACACTAAGGCAATAAGGCGCAAGACTTGTATGGCTTGATTTTCAGACTAGCGCAACCTAATTTACACGTTTTGCGCCACGTTGTTTAAGCAGCAAATCCATTTGCAACTTGCAACCATTTGAACAAAAAGCAGGTCTAAAGTCCAGCGCAGAGCATGTTATTTATGCACCTTTGCAGGTTTAAACACTTACACTAGGGATGGAGAGTCAACTCCAAAAGAGTCGATTTCATCAACTCTCAATGGACTTTAGTACCGGAATTGACTCCAGGACAGGATTCCCAGAATCAAGTCTGTTTATTTCGGGGGCTTTTTTCAGTTTATTCATGACAATTTGTGTTAGTACAATGTTACTATTATTGGTTGATTATTTATTATATGCATTTTTATATTTGGTTTAATAAAAACAAGTTTATTTACTTATCTCCAGTTGAGTTTTGGAGACGTACGCATCACCATATGGGGCATAAGAATAGGACGTGTGTCCAAGTGCTTAAGACTTTGTGCCTTGAACGTTAAATGGAGCCCAGTTTTTTTAAAGGATAAACATCTGAAACTTCAGCAAAAAGATATTAATTTAATTTTAGTGGCAATGAAATGTTAAACAGATCTCGCGGGGGAAATATTTTTCACATAGTCGCCTCTTCCATGACCTTTTGTGTTTCTGCTGACAGAGGTTCAGTGATGTGGCAGAAGACAGTTGAGAGGACTTGAGATGGAGACAGAGCGGGGCAGAAGAGTCACGATGAATCAGAGCTCAGTGAATTAAAGGAGAGCAAACAACCGGCTAAAACCAGAAACCAGCAATGCACACGGGTCCAATAATCATCCACCAAATCCCTCTGCTACACACACACATAATAAAATAGGTTAACAAGGCGATTAATCAAAAGGTAATTTTCAAGTTACTTTGATTGGTGTTACTCAGAAAAATCACAGTGGGGCTGAAGAAAGTTGCTTAACTAGATGCTTCTGTAAGCTTGAACGGCTTGAGAACAATAATTGCTTGGATACAGAGAGAGAAAAACAATCTTTTAAACCTGCCGACAGCGTTTGACCTCTCACTGAGCGTTGCTGATTAAATTCAAGGGAAGGTGGTATGGTTTCAAGCATCCTTGAGTTGTTTATAAAATATTAAAATATTAAATGTAAATATGAATAAAGCTGGACAGGACTATATAAGCTTCATCTAACACGGTAAATATGACCTGGCAGAACCTGAACTACTCATTTATTGTGTTGACGCTTCGCTCGATCATTAAACACTATATTGTAATATCTCATTGTCAATTTGCACAGCTACAGAGAAGGTGTTCATCTGTGTGTGTGTGTGTGTGTGTGTGTGTGTGTGTGTGTGTGTGTGTGTGTGTGTGTGTGTGTGTGTGTGTGTGTGTGTGTGTGTTTGGAAGAGCGATAACTTCATTATGTGGAGAGATCTTCTGCTGACAAACAGCGGGCAGCACTTATGATGATCGATTGCACATTCACTTACTGGTTCATACACACCGAAATCATCAATTTGCGATAATCTACACTCAATAAACATTTGTTCCCTCTACTCCCACTGAATGTTTGGTCTACCTGGGATTTGGCCAAATCATCAAGGCTGCCCAACACTTGGCAGGTACTGCAACACAGACCATCCCCAGAGGCTTCCATGGGAAAAAGATGAAAATGATCTCTCTTTTAGATCTGTCTCCTTGAAATGAATCAATATGTGTGAGATTAGATGGAGACTGTTTTTTTTTTTTTTTGAAGTCAGAAAAGTCAATGTGTCTATTTCATCTAGCTTACATAGAAAATCGCAAAGTTGTATTCCAGAAAGAGATATTCTACAACTTCAAAACTAAAAGAATTAAATACTTTAGGGCAGAGATGCCCAAACTAGGGCCCGCAGGTCAAAGTTGGTCCATGGTAACCTTTGATCTGGCCTGCCAACCCATTTGAGAAGAGAGGGTGAATGATATGGATGCTATATAGGACAGGGAGATTGCCATTTCAAATATAATGTAACCTTTTATTTGTTTGTTTTATTGCTAAGCTACAAAAAAGCTAACTGAAATAAAATGTTTTAATTTAAACGCTGTAATTTAGTTTAAATTGTACATTTTGTCACCCGATGCAGAGACTTTGGTAAGTGAATCAAAGCAAAGCCAGATTCTGCTTGACTAGTGTATTCAACATTGAACTCCACTGTCTTATAAATGTTATTATGTTCTTATTACAATAAAATTCAAAGTGATGTTTTCTATTTATATTTAAATATTATTTAATTAATTAGGAAACTATCCATGGCAACTTTAATGTACACCCGTTTGGTTTATTTATCTTTGACCCAAGGCTCTCAATGATATTTGGTTTTTGGCCCTTTATATGAAAAAGTTTGGGCAACACTGACTAAAGAAAATGGTGCATTGAATTAAAGAAGCACTAATAGCACTTGTAACATAGTTAGCGCAATGTTACAAGAAATATTCCTCAGTTAAATCCTTTTAATTTAAACGTTCTATATAATAAATGTGTACTGAGCACCTAGCCTATTAGAAGAGCTCCAGATTAACACTAAATGGTCACACTTTGTAAAAAAAAAAAGTTTCTACTGGAGCAATTTTTTCTAATTATTAATTAATTCTTTAGTTGGTGCCACTACCAATTTAATAAGCCCATAAATACAGCCATTTTGATCCACATAAGAAAAATTAAACATTATAGCAGAATGAAAGTATAGTATTAATTTTAGCTGAAAGACAGGTGGCGAACTAACTGATTAAGCCATGCTCAACATCTAAAGAATAAGTTTTAGAGTAAATGTGTTATTGTTTTTTTTACTGACTCAAAAGTGTTTGAGTTTGGTGATAAATGTATCTTTGAAAAAAACTAGTAGTAAGTGAATTTAAATGTCAATAACATGGATAGACTCAACCACAACAATCCAGTTTGAAGGCTTTACATTGCAATAAATCCAATAAAAATTTACCATGATGGGTAATGGGATGATATTCAAGTCAAAATATAAAATAAATGATATTATTACTACATGCATGTTAAAAAAAGTAATAGAACATAATTACAGTATTATCAGTTTTTGGATGTTGGTATCAGTTCATTATAATTATTTATAATAAAGGCTATGCTTGTTTTCCATAGCAAAATACATAGAAACCACTTAATTGCAAACAGGAACCTCAGTGAGGTTTTATAACGGTGGCTATCTTGATCAAATGCCTACAAAATTAGGTTACACATTTTTTTTTTACAGATTTGGCAACACAGGCTCATTTTGGATTTGTACCCCTGTCTACATTTCTGGAGAGTACAACTTAAGTAGCCAGAGGTCTTGCTGGCTGCATTTTGTCTTTAAAATGAACACTACGGGGTGGTATTAGGCTGACGGCTTCTGTTAATTTTAGCGCTAACAGCTGACAGATTACCTCTGCAGTAAGTGCAGATGACTTTTCTGGTGTTACCAGTTTGGCCAGTAGCTTGCAGTGTATGAACTTGAGACGCAAAGCGGAGTTGACCACAACGACAAGGTGCGAGTCTGGCAAATAACTGTTCCAGAAACCAGGTAAAAAATAAATGAATAAATAAACAACAGGCTGAAATTGTGTTGAAATCACACGGCCACGATGGCTTTTCTTTTTCAAGATGGCTTTTGAAAACACTATCGGTTGGGTTCAGGGAAGAGGGTGGGTGGGTCTGTCAGTCAGTAGACAGCAAGCTGGCTTGGTCGACTAAAGTGTATATTGCGCCCTCTGGTGGATTTATGCAAGAAGAATACACTTGAGAGGAATATGGGATCATCAAAAACTTACACAGCGGCCTCTGGTGGATTTGCAAAAACAACGTGCATACGTACCTCCGGTTAAGTATTTTGCTGTCCCCAGAAATGTAGACCTGGGTACATATCCACAATGAGCCTGGGTTGGTTTTTGATGTTACTCTCTGCTAAGACATTCCCCTACTCCAAAGACTAAAGGATCTGAAGTGTGCTCAGCACAGTTTTTAAACTTTTAGTGCATAACAATATTTTTCATTCCATTATGTCTTCTAATAGCCAATAATTCATTGTGCATTTACTTAAACACAGGCTTTAAAAAAACTCTTCTGGTTTTATGGAGGGTTCAAACAAACCTTAGAATTAATTATTCATGCTAGTAAATAACATACAAAGTCAATGCAAATGTGAAAATTGATGCAAATTACTGCTGGGTGGCGCAAATGACAGGGAATGAGCAATGCATTTGCGCAATTCATTTAAGTTGCCTTTTTTTGAACAATTTGGAAAAATATCAGTAATCTAGAGCAAGTGACGCAGTGCCTCGTGTTTGGTATGAACCTATCATTACAGTTAAAATATAAAAAGTCAATTTTTTATTATATTTCTGCTAAAATCTTTGGTGGAACCTTTGCCAATTTTATTCTATCTACAAAATTCAGTGGATAAAATAGGTATTTGGCAGTAAAGGTAGAGTCATTTGTAAAATGACAAAGCAAACACTTAACCTTCCCCCTGGTCAAAACTGCCTTGAATGCCAAAGTACATCATGAGCATGTTCTTACAGTTAAAAAATACTTCTTCTAAAACTATTTCAGCATTTCTGTGACTTACCGCAGAACGAGACGATATGGCTGCTGTCTTCATGAACAAACTTCCTTGTGACTGCTTCCTCCATGATCTGCTTGACCTGTGATAGACACAGCAGAAGAAAATATGAATATACAGTTTTCTACAGCTTTGCATTAGTGAACATTCCCACGATTGGTGAATCTGCCATGTCTTATGAAGATGATTCCCCTCACAAGTACTTTCATTAGCGCCATCAAACACTCAAAGCTAAAAAAAAAACTCTGCAATAAATAACAGGAAGAAGAGTAGGAAGAATGGAGACCGTGACTCATCTCCCCTGCCTATAAAGAGGAAAAGTAGAAAATGAGAGTTGCATGCTTGATTTATGTATGAAGCTTTTGCTTGTCGTGACTGTGGATGGTGGATCTACACTGGCATAATGATGATGCCAACCATCCAAGACTTCGATGACAACACATAGACTTAACACACAAGTACACTTCATTTAACATGTACACAATGACATTATCTATACACTATATATAACTACTGGTTAAATATGTTTATATATAATAAATATAACTGTTAAAAGCTATGAGTTACTAATTAATTAGTTGTTTCTAACTAAATTAAACTGCACACATTAATGAAAGGAAAAAGACCCTCAGTCAGATGTGGTGCGTATTTGAGTAATTAAACTCAGGTAAACTGTAATGGACGCGTTCAGAATGAAAGGAAATACACAGTCAGTCAGATTCGGAGGATATTTGAGTAACTAAATTCAGGTAAACTCTAATAGACGCGTTCAGAATGAAAGAAAATAGACCCAAAGTCAGATTTGGAGGGTATTTAGGTAAGTAAATTCAGGTAAACTGTTATGGACGTGTTTAGAATGAAAGGAAATACACCCTCACTCAGATTTGGTGGGAATTTGAGAAAGTAAATTTAGGTAAACAGTAATTGAGCACGTTCAGAATCTAGATGAAAGGGTCTGGATGAAAGAAATTAGCCAGCTGATTGGCTTGAGGAAGTGCCTAATGGAAATTTTCTGTTCTGCGCGTTTCCTCTGTTGATACTTTGGATCATGAGATGAAAGCTAGGGCAGGAGTAATGTGAAAGTAACCACAGGTTAAGCAATGTTTTACACTTGTTATTTCGGTAGGGCTTTAGCACCCTCCTGTTTGGCCTCAAGGCTTGCCTTATGAAATATTTATGTGCTTCTCATAGTTGCAGAAACTGTCATGAGCTTCTCCTTTGAAGAAAGAGTCAAAAATGACACAGTGTGATGACAAACGCTCCTCTGTGTTTTTCAGCGTTTCTTTCTTTATTTCTGGTTTACGTCAATCAGAGCAGTGAGTGACATTTCTATAGAGAAACAAGTGCAGGGAGAACATGCATTGATTAAATGATGAATTTGAACTGAAACATTAATGTACAAATCTGATTTAGCTTATTATTTAAGTTTTCTTTAAGATATTGTTTAAAAGACATTGAATTGGTGAAAACGAAAGATTTTTATATCTATACAGTTGTTGTTTTTTCTATTATGTTTAAATACCTCATTTGCAAAGATTTCTAGCATAATTTTAATCGTTACTATAATCGTAAAGACATTTAAGCTCCACCTTTGCTAAAACTTCTGGTAGGCTTAGTTTCACTTTTTTCAGTTTCACTGATACAGCCAGTAAGAAGTCTGTTAGCACTGTCATTGGTCACGTGTCAATCCAATTCTAAACACCTAATAGTTTTTTATAAAGTTAAGTCAAGGGACAAAAATAAATAATATCTACTTTAATAGTGAAGAGATTGCGATTGCAAACAGTCTTACGTTTCACATAAAACTAAACAAGGTCGACCGTGATTGGACACTTTCATATGAGTCAAATCATCACTTCAGAATCATTGCAGTTTGTGTGGGTATTTTTGCATTAAATAGTCACAAATGTTCACAAACATTTAAATGTTTTTGGTGTGGAAATTGCATCCAAAATCTCCCTTTTAAATGTAAGCACTTTTAAACACTTTAACAAAACAAGTTCATTTTTTAGGTTTTCCAGGACTTGAATTTCTAAAAGCCAAATTCAAGCACTTTAAGCACCTTGTGCGAACCCTGCTATCATTACACTAGATCATGTTTAAAAAATGTGTAAAAAAAATAAATAAAATAATGATAATAAGGATGATAATAATAATAATAATAATGCACAACTTACAAATGTGCTATTCAAAATCTTAAAGGGAGACTCCTCATTTTTGAAAACAGGCTAAAAAGGTAAACAATTTTACTTTTTAAAATTCATTCAGTCAATTTCCAGGTCTGACGGATACACTTTTAGCTTAGTTAGCATAGATCACTGAATTACATTACATAAGACCACTATCATCTCACTCAAAAATTATCAAAGTGTTTTAACAAATATAATATACTCTAATTTGGCGTAATAATCAAGGAACTTTGCTGCAGTACCATGGCTGCAGCAGGTGAAATGTTATTATGCAGCGTCTGAAAAACTCGCAACCATTCATAGAGACATTCGTGAGAGCTGATTAAGGACTATTTTCAGGACAATTTTCATTTAATCTAATAATTGTTTAATTATCTATATCTCTAAGTTAATCTTAAAGTGTTCCTGCCAGACCTGGAGATGTAACAGTAGCTGGACACATGACAACCAAGTTAGAGATCCCATTGCAGTTTATTAAAAGAATAGTCTTGCAAGCAATGGTTGAAACAGGAACAAACAGGTGCATACAGAGTAATGCAAAGCATGGTCAATAAACAGGCGAATGGACGGTACAGGTCAAACCCGCCAAGGCAAGGGAAAATTTTTCGTAATGCTCACTAAACAGTTTAACAAGCCTCAGCCACGATAGGTGTGTGTGTGGTGTGTATAGTCCATGTAATCAGTCTACAATTAGTTTACACCTGTGTGTGTGTGTAATCAGAAACTAGTGTGTCATGATGGGAGTTGTAGTTCATTAAAGTGGCATATGTGTAGTTCTCCAGCAATCTGCACATGCTAGATCGCTGGTGAATGTGACAGGTCAGTTGAACTTATTAAAAAATATTTAAAAAACTCTACAGCTCTTTATTTTCTTATTTTTTAAAAATTAGTGTTTCTTTAAAACCTGATGACCCAGTATCAATTAGCAGTACTGCTGCAAGATAAAGCATAACCAGTGTGTTAAAATGACCCCGGGTTAAACTGAAATTTGAAAAGCCCATTACTGCTCTCCTAGCCTCTGCTTTAGCGTTCAGACAGTGGGTGTGCTGTGATTCTAATATTTACTCCATGACCTTCTCTTCCATTTCCCGTAACTAATGCAGGAGGACAACACAAGCTCTGCAGAGCAAAACCTGTTGATTTAGGGATGAACCTGATGCCCTGAAAAAGAGTCACGCTCTTTCCTGCTTATCTTTGCCAGAATCTGGATTTCTTTTTAAATCACAGAAATACTCTCTTTATATTTAGATTTGACAGCAGGCTCATACAGTACATCCCCTCTTTTTGAGTTCACATTTGTTAAAATCTTATTCAGCATGACTAATTTCTTCTCATTGTCTTATTGGTAACAAACACAGCAGCACAACTGTGTTCTAATCAACTTAACCTCAAGAGTTTAAACACCACATGACTCACCTGACTGCTATAAATATCACATCCTCCATACTATAGAATCACACCTATCCAAACCTTCAGGGAGGGAGAAAGTAGGAAACTCTTTTGCTGAGAGACCAAAAAGACACGACAGCATGATTCACAAAGCAGCAGATCAGAAGCGCCGCCATAAAAGCTTGTTATCCTTGGAAAACAGACACTCGCTTTGTGTTACCAAGAACATTATGACACAGCCAAAAACAAAATTTATTGAACAGTCTGCGTGAAAGCTGCTTTTAAGTTTTAACTTCTCTGTCGTGTCTCTTGTACCAAGTAATCTTGTATGACAAAGAGAGAAAACATAAAGAGGTTCACACCTAATGAGAAGTGCAGAACAAAAGTTTGCATAACCAACTATTGATCTTATCCACTCGTGACCTACCCATAGTTAAACGTCATGTAGCCTACTTTTTTGATGACCTGACCACGGATGCGCCGTTATGTATCCCCAATATGTAAATGTCAAGAGCCTGACTCCATAAGGCAGGGGTGTCCAAAGGCGGTCCTAGAGGGCTGATGTTCTGCAGATTTTGGCTCCAACTTGCCTCAACACACCTGAAAGGATGTTTTTAGAAAGCCTAGTAAGAGCTTGATTAGCTTGTCCATGTGTGTCTGATTGGGGTTAAATCTAAACTTTGCAGGAAACAGGCCCTTCATGACCAAGTTTGGACACCCCTGATATAAGGTAATGTACACTACGCACACTCGATTATGTAATGTGTGAATTCGCGAACGCATGTCAGCCCAAGTTTAACTTATCCTTTAAATGCCCATGCTAAATCAATAATCGATATGCTCTATGGATTTACGAGGTTATCAACAATGTGTGTATATTTTTGGCTTGGAATAGCCTTCTACAAAACTGTTAAAGATTTGTGTGTTTATCCTTGCTACATGCAAAAAATAAAACCTAATTTCTAATTAATCGCACTTTCATGAAAATCAAATTAAAGAAGTATCGGAAACGATACTTGGTATAGAGTTATTAAAATACTCGTATCGGTTTGTAAAAATGTGGTATCGGTTCATCCCTAGTGCCATGTCTGAAAAATTCACAGCACAATGTTTTCTAAACGTACTGATGGTGCCAGTCTCTGTCTGTCCACCACACTTAACTAGGATTCAGGAATCAAAATCATGCAACAGCACATACATACGGCGGTCTTTCATTAAAGGGATCATCTAAATTTCTTTCAGTCTCACTAGAAAAAATTGTGGCCAATCAAATGCAGCCTGGGGAGTGCACATTAATGATCCTGTGTGCAACAGTCTGTGTTTTGTTCTGATTGGCCTAATATTCATGGTGTGCCTTTTCATGTACTGACCTCGTATTACTGAACTATGCCTAGTGATATCCAGATTTTCATTATATGGCACTTTTAAGCAAATTTGCAAAATAGAGCGTGCCACTTCATTAAGTAATAGTGTGTCTAACTCTGCCTCCACATAAGACAATCAA